TTCATCTGAGAAATGTCGGTCAACTCATGAGTTTTTCAGGAATCCGTCCTCTCCGCAATTTAAATTTAGCTGGATATTAACCATCTACTAATACCGGAAGTTTTTTGTTGATCAAACTATGGAGCGTTATTAACCCAACCTTCAGGTCCTCTCAGTAACTATGGTAGAGACAAACTTGAGAAATTTTACGAGTAGTTCCCTCAAAACAAAAACCTTTCTTTTCACCATTAATGGGAGTCCATTGACCTTGACTTCAAATTTTCAGTATGTATTCTAAAAATATACCTATCACTTTATATTATTAGGTATCTTCAAAACATAAGCAAAACATTGAGTCGAAAACTAAAGACGTTGCGAGAACGTCACTATGGGCTTGTAGTTTTTTTGTATGTATATACAAAACACTGTTGCGTTTGTGGTTTGAATATTACTATCATATTTTTGGGCCAAAAGGCCAAATGTTACCTCATTGGTTTGGACTCCATGGAGACACGTACAAAAAGACTTATGAGTGACCACGATTTGTTTAAAGCCAATCATAATAAACTTGAGCAGAGGTGTAAAGTCAGACATCTTGTCAGCCTCAGGTTGTACATTAAGATTTATGAAAATTTATTTAATTTTTTTAAGTTTTTGATATTATTTTTACAGAAAAATAATATCATAGTAGTAACTCGTACATTCATGGTTTTATTTGTTTACTTTAATTATCATGGTCAAATTTCATGGAGTCTTTAAATGATTTTATAATGTTTATAGGGGTGAGTTTTCTGTAAGTAAATATTGATAATGTTACTTCTTAACGATCGGTTGAGGCATTTAAATTGACAGACTTGTTTCAGGGATTACCTCGATATGCATTTGTCTGGTGAATCCTCCTAGACGTTTTCGTCATAAAGATATGACAAATAAATTAATGAGAATACCGCTTTGAATGTTTTTTTTAAATCCCAATATCACATTGAAATTAAATTATTTTCATTTAAACTTGGTAGTTTTAGTCTGCAGCTTCACACAAATAAATACAATTTGTTATCATGTCATACAAATAATGATTTTATTAAAAGATTAGATGAAAAAGCTAAAGTGAAAGCAAATAGAGAAAAATCTGTAGTATCACTAATATTGATGAGTTATATTTTAATAACACTATTCAGTTTTTCCTTTTATCTTCTAATTTGTTTTGATGTTATCTGAAAATAGAATTTACTTTTTTGGGAATTAATGAGAATATCCCTGATCTATTTCTGTACTGTTAGTAATACACATTTCAAGTTTCATAAAGATCATCCAAGATGTTACATTGAATAAACAATGAATAAACAAGGTCATTTCTGCTTTAATTATACAAATAAGTACCATACAGTAAAAATAAGAATTCATAAGCCTGGCTATGAAAACAAAAATCTACAAAAGTTGGCTTATGTAGGAGTCACTTTTACTTTATTGTAAGGAATTATTTTTATTTATGTTAAAAAAGGAAAATGAAAATAAAAGTTTAAAAACGAGAAAAAGGAGACATAAAACTTTAAACAAAAAATAATAATTTAATTACATAGTATTTGCAGTTTTATGCACATCTTTTTTCTAGTAACTAAAATATATATACATATATAAGTATATAATAATAAATATATATAAAATTATATAATAATAAATATATATAAAATTTTGAGTTTATTTTACTTACGTTATGGCAATTTGAAGATGATGATGATCTCTATGCTAGTTTTCGAAATATTTAATACATAAAAATTGTTTTATATTGCGGCAATAGGTTTGTACTCTTGCTATTAAATTACTTTGTTCACGTACCTACTGCTTTCCTTCGTTTTGCCCATATATTAATTGTTCACTTCATAGCGTAAATAAAAAATGTTCTTCATAGTTATAATTATAATAGGACTATCAGAATATTTTAAGAGTAATAATTTAAAAAAAATAATACATCATCGACTTAGTTCAGAGCCCATACTTTTTAAAATATCATATAATTTCTCCTTTACCGTTAAATTCATTTCGTTGTTTAAAGCTATTTACATTTTACAACTTTGGTAATTTATTACAATTTGTTATCTACATATGTATTTATAATGAGCTGTTTCATGTTATGAGGATAAACTTTTTAATAATTCACAGTAATAGTTGAAGCTAGAGGCTTTAGAGGCTAAATCAAGAAAGCATATCGCCTTTAATATGTAACATAGTTGCTCGAAATCGTAGTGTTCTCGAGCGCTTGAGATATACCTTATTTATAGTCTCACTCTGCCCGTAGCACTATTTTTCTGGTATTTCGAGGTTCGATATAATAGTAACTTAATAATTCTGTCCTCAAAAAAATTCGGTGTAAAAAAGAACTAAGCACTTAAATAAATTATAATTGACGATTGCGATAAATTTCAAATGTTAAATTTGTATATTTAGCTATTATTATCAATAACCTCAAGAATGAAACCCTTTAATTTTATTAATAAATTAGACATACTTGTGTACTTCCGAAAACATTCTTTAAATTTTCTTTCGTTTTTATAATCAATTCTTGAATTGTCAAAAACAATCAAGAGCGGTCAATAATCAAAAATTAAAATAGGTACAAAACGTTTATGTCAGGTCTCCTCCTACCTGTACGGCAAGTAGTATTATTGTAAACTCTTGAAGACTTTTGATATTATTAATATTTTGTTTACTGACGGAAATTACAAATTCATCAAGCCTTTGATTCGAGAGCTTATGCCCTAACGACTTTTGGATAGTGTCCATAAGTAACAGGGTCTATCAATTACTATAGGTAAGCATATCATAACAACAAGTTGACAACCAAACAAAAAAAAAATATTAAGTCCAGCGCCACTCCAGCATACATACAAATGCTGTAAGTACATAATCCTAATGTTAGATTATATCTTTTTAAAAAATTAAAAATGTGTACCAAATCCATCTATTTCTTTATATTATTAAAATAAGTTACTGAGAAAGTGAGAAACCCACTTAACCTTATATAAAACTCACAAAAAATTCGCAAATATCATTAAATGATTTCAATCAAAATCATATCGCAAATTAATCAAGCTTTACAAATGTTTATATTTTAGTTTACTAAATAAATATTTTAGTTTACTAAATATAAAGTCGAATTTAGTGCCAAATTTTCTGGCTGCAAATAAAATTCAGTTATAATTATAAAAAAGCCCAAATTATGAACGCGTATTCTGATGTTTTAATTAAAGATTTTCAAAATATTATGAATTTTTTAACAAATTTCAATTTATTGGCTAAGATTTATAACAAAAAAATGTAATTTATTTTCCTATGTACTAAACGTTGAGTGAAGTTAATTTAAATTTATGAATGTTGAATTGACAAGCAAAAAAACAATCTCTAAAATGGTGTACAAATTGTTCACAATTTAAATTCGGTACAAATTTTGGCATTGCTTAGGCCTCCTTAGTTTATACCAAAAGCATTTGTTTACATCATAAACAATGGCATTGTAACCCAAATATTCTTTTATATGAATTGTTTCACCGCTTTTATATACACGTATACTAAAAAATCCTTAAAACACTTTTCTTTGTATTCAATGGATTCTTATTATTGTTTGTAATTTTTTAGTTATTTTCAAATTATTTTACTTAAATTTACCTTTTTGAAAGCGACACAAAGGTTATTATTGTTTTCAGAGTAGAGAAAAATATACAACGTTACAAAAGAACCTAAACATTACCTATTTTCTTTGAAAGTTCAATGCCTTTGAAGTTTTGTCCGTTTATAATTATTTGTTTATATGTTGCGAATTTAATCAACATTTTCATGTCCATTTCAAATATGGATATGTTCTATCCCTATTCGTTTCATAGTTACTTACGCATTCTGTTTATCGTAATACTTAAATAGAATACATCTGCATCAAGATTATAACTTACTTTATCCTCAAATGTTCAAACAGATTTTATATACCTTTTAGTTTTGCAAATATCACCTCCTATCGAAAAGGTTTTATTTGCCTGATACAATAAAACAAAGTTTAAAAATTTTCCCCTTTTGTGAAAGCGATCACATTTAATAGTTCATCGAGACTGAAATATGCGAGTATCTTTGTGACAAAAAAACATCACAATATGTTAAATCAATACCAAGGCAAATTGGATATGATATTCAATTTTAGATCGGGAGATTTTCAACATATCGTTCGTTAAAATATTCAAGAGCACGTAGTATCGTTTATAATTTCAACGATATTTGTACATGTATATTACCAAAACCCCTACGAGTTGTGGTAAAACATAAAAAAAATAGATCCGATATAACATATAGCAGTATTGTTTATAATACGTTCTAGTTAAGACTGAAAAAGAGACTGTCCCAAAAAATGGAAATAATGAAACATTGAAAATTAATGAAATTATATTTAAGATTAATAAATAATCTTTTGGTGGATTTTATTATACTGACGTTATTAGCTTTTAATGAAACATAAAAACAAGTTGAGCATAACTAGTTCTGACTTCGTATCGGAAATCCAATAAGTGTATGAAATTAAAATATATGAAAAAATTCAAAATAATAAGATTTCTTTCAATATTTTAAATAATTAATTGAGAGCTGAACTTAATTACTATCTCTGTGGAATATATTGACGGTTTTTATACTAAAAATTTTATACAACCATCGTGCCTTTTATAAAATTCCGTACAACAAAAATTTTAAAAATGGTCTGCAATTTTTAAAAATAATATCTAAAATAAATTTAAAATATGAAATAAAAATGCATTGTATATATTTTAATTAATCTTTAAAAGTCACTAGTTTGCTGTACTCGTAATCGGTGTAGCCTTGTAATACTAAATTTTTTTTATATAACAATAATAAGATACATCTTTTCTTTGGATTTCCTGTATTACCTTTTTAGAAATTGGCGAAACGAATTAAATATGTTTAAAAATAAAAATTACATACTTTTCTTAAAAGAAAAGTCATAATAATTAGACACAAATACTTACAGAAGTAGGACTCTTTTTGCTCCGACTGGAAGAAAAATGTTCTATAACCTCCCAGTTAGATTTCTTTGGAGCTGGCGTATCGGCCGGGGAGGGCGATGCACGATGTGCTGTAGAAGGTGTGCTTCGTCCCGACTCGTCAGTCCGGAGTGGGGTAGCAGCAGATCGCAAGGAAGCGCATCGTCGACCGCGTAGCGCTTCCTGCGTTGAAAATTAATATTTCCTTATACATGATGTCTGTTAATTTAGGTTTACATAGAATATCTTTTGTTTAGTTATTAATAATCAGCTTGAGCATTTCCTTTTTATTTGTGGACCTTTGAAATTTTAATAATTAGTAAGATATGTAACATGACTTCTCTGTTTTTCATTATATAAAGCTATCAACTGCATATACCCACCGTCAAGCTGATAATTGTTTACTGAAAAATAAAAACATATTTTATAAATATATAAAGAAGCAAATACATTGCAAAAGTAAGAATAACAAAGCTCACATTAAATTTAATACACAAACGAGTAAACTATACATAACAGACATGTATTAGACAAACAAAATTAATATAACAAGCGCAACATATTTGTTCTCTTCGCTACGATTAAACGATTAAGTACAATACAAGAGTCTACTGACACGTGCGGAACTAAACTTGATTGCAAGATTAAATTATGTTTCAGATTCCTAGCTGTTATATTCGAATTATTCTCGCTTCTTTCATTAAAATATATAATTGCGATCCTGATAAGGTTTTATGTTATAAACAAGTGACAGTTTTCAACTGACAGTGAAATATTAATAATCATTCCAACAATTGAAACCTGAGTTACTCAGAGTTCTGATATATGAATATGATCGAACGTCAAAACATCTATAACCATTGTACAACCACTTTACAATTGCGATGATAAAAACGTAGTATTAACAATTTTGATATAAATGATGGACGACTCTCATCTATCAATGTCTCTCAAATTAACATATTTCCACTGATTCGGTTCAATATTTACAGTCTGTGCCAGCTAATGAAAATCGTGTGCGTATATGCAGAATATTCTGATTCACTTGTAACAATGTTGCGAAATTCATTTTAATTGCATCGGGAGTGACGAAATGACAAATAATGAATTGGTATAGTAAAAATGATTGAACGTAAGGTAATTGTTTTATTATAATTAAATTATCTATTCATAAAAAAGCCCAAGAAAAAATATAAAGTTTAGCCCAGTTATAAAAGGATTTGAAGACGAAAAAAGGGACAGAATAGCTATATTTCACATCTATATTCCACATACAGTATAATCATATATACATAATATAACTTACCTAACATTAAAGATAGAAGGAATTTTATTGTACAAATTTTGTTATGTTAGTTAAAATAAAACAAAGACGTCAATATATTCAACTACAAAAAACAACCAGAAGCAATCATGTAATAATAATAACAAAATATTTAAAGTTCACTTACACATGAAGGATTCCGCACCTAAAAAAAAAACATTTAATTATTTCCTTCAATACAATTACATACTTAAATATGATCAAAAATGTTTGGATAATATAAATAATACTTAATCAATAACCTCAGTAAAAAGATAATTCATAAATATTAAATCATTATGGGTTGACATACCTAGTCGAGAGGTAAAAAGTTTAAGCAATTCATAGCATAGCCTCTTTTAACATCAGTAAGTAAAATGGAAATATAATTCTTTATCTCCTCTTTATTATTTTTTTTGTTAGTTTCAAAATCACAATAATTGCCTAGATTTTTATGTGTTATCAATAAGAAAGTGTCAGAGGTATTCTCAATTTGAAGTTGCAAAAGTCTTTATGACTTTGTGTCTTTTGGAGGTATGACAAGTTCATTTTCATGTATCAGAAGTTAATCTTCTATATCTTCTATTCTATCTTCTATATATATAAAAATGGATTGCTGTTCCTTAGTCTCGCTAAAACTCGAGAACGGCTAAACGGATTTATCTTATCTTAGTCTTGAAATGTTCGTGGAGGTTCAGGGAAGGTATAAAAGCTGAAAAAATTGATTCATTACTGGGAAAACCATACAAACAGCCATTTTCTATTTCCCATACAAACGTTTTTTTTATATTAGATTTGACAACTAACTAATATGTCAATCATTCTGTCGCTCTTCAAAACACGGAGTTTTATGGCTTACAGGTAAACTTCAAAAATATAAATAAAAAAACGTAATAGATATTTCTTGATTAAAGGCCGATACGAAGTTCGCCATGTCTTCTAGTAAACATATAAAAATGAATTGCTGTTCCTTGGTCTCACTAAAACTCGAGAACGACTGAATGGATTTATCTTATCATAGTCTTGAAATGTTTGTGGAGGTTCAGGGAAGGTTTAAAAGCTGAATTTTTTTATTAATTTTCGGGAAACCCCTAAAAACAGCGCTTTTTATTTCCCATACAAACGGTTTTTTGACATTAGATTTGACAACTAACTAATATGTCAATCATTTTGTCGCACTTCAGAACACGGAGATTTATGACTTAAAGGTAAACAACAAAAAAAAAATAAGACATAATTTATTTCTTGATTGAGGCAGTACGAAGTCTGCCGGGTCAGCTAGTACATAATTATATGTTTTTGATTTCTTGATTTTTTTACACACCCGAATAGAATATACAAATCTTAGAAATTATTAAAATAAAAGTTCATTTGTTAGTACTTCTGCATCTTTTTAGTATTTTCGTTAATTATTATTATTAAGAATTACAATATATTTTGGTGGATAGCTCAATAGAAAAAAAAACAATATATTTATCAAATTATTTTAATTTAACACATTTATTCACATTACAGTGTTTTCAAATAAACATATCTAAGTAAAAAATGTTATAAGATGGAAATATGTGCCATATAACATGTAACATAAAAATTATATTTACTGTTTTAATAAATTACTTCATCCTAATTTCTAAACACACATTTTCTACAAATTTGACTCTTGTTTAGAAAAAATAACATGTTGAAATCTAGACAACATGTAGCACGAATATCGAATAAAAATACAATTTATTTCTTTTCTCCACAAACCTTTTACAAATTAACTAATGCATAGAATCAGTAATTAAAAAACTAACCATGAATTTTAGTTCATAAACCGTGTGACAATGCTTAAAGCAAAAAGGAGTGAGGGAATAGGAAAAATGTGTTTATATAAAAATGTGTAGAATATATGATTTCAAGAAATATATGACTTCAAGCAAAGTATTTTTTATTTTTATTATCATAAATACCACGACCCATATGTCATTAAAATTAACAATATTTTCAACTACAGCTACCCGTCTACGTAATAAAATTTTACAGTATTAGTTTGACCAATTTCAAGGTAACTTGAAAGTAATAATTTATGCTATGTTAATTGAACTACTATTTTATATAAACTTTAAAGTGTCGATAAATTTTAAACGCATTTATAATGAAATAAAGTCATCGATAATAATGTTAAGCAGAGAACGTCGAACATAAATCCTGCATTATTTTCAATAAATTAAATTAAAGATTATTATAAATATTTTTTACGGTTTAAATATTTCCCCTCATAAATCTTTATTAAGACTATATGCTAATGAGGTAATAATTTTATTTAATTATTAATGACTGTAAAAATGACAACATTCGCATAATATAAAGTTTTTAACTTAAAAATAATTAGTGTTAATTTATATATCTTGCTTTTTTTTTCTCCACAAAGCTGTTTCTAGTATTTGATCATTTAATTTTTAATCGCCACTTTAGTAAGAACTACATTCACTTTACAAGATCAAAGATGAATCATGTCATCATTATAATTTATTCGATTTATAACTCAGCTAAACGTAAAAACATGATACAAAGTTGATAACTAGAAGCAGTTTATGAACGGGAAGCTATATCCGAAATCGATTTGCAAGTTCAATGAAAGAAAGCTTGTTAAAAGTTAAACATTATAAATAACTTGATAACACGGAAAACATTATATAATTTTTAATTAATTTTGTTCTTTAAAATAAACTTAATATAAAATCACATCCAAAGGAAATAAAAGATGTCTGTATTTAAAGTCTCCTCTCATATAGAAAACTCTTTGTTTTATTTTAGACTGGAATCACAAAGGCATTAGAGACAACATCACGAATAGTGAATTATTTCAAATAATGAAATTTTCTTCTCTCCTTCACTTGACATTTTTACGCTGTGTTTAGAGCATCTGTATATTACGCCTTTATTTTAAAATAAAAAATATATTCAGTATACACCCTCCTTTGAGAGCATACAAACTTAATTATACATATTTTTTTTATAGAAGTATGAAGTGGTATCTGATCTTCAAATGTATATATGAAGATGAATTGATAAGATCTATTAATGACTTTCTGAATTGTATAAATTATTCTTTTTTAAACTTTAACCTCTAGCTATGTGTAAAATTAAGTTTCTGTAAGAACAAAACCCTTAATTGGGCTATATATCTTCTTTTTTCAATAACTTCCTTATTAACTAAATATTTAAATACTAAGCATTACTAATTATCTCAACCGAATACATAAGTGTTTGATAAAAAAACATATAACCATATATACAATACTTGAAAAAAGCTGGCAAGTGTAAGCAGCAATGTCACCTTGACCGACCATTTGAAATTTAAATAAGGAACTTTATATTTTATGTCACAAGATCCATGGACGATTATTATCATAAACTAACAATATTTAAATTTTTTGTACCAAAATAAGCTGGATAATATTAAAACCACGTGTACATCTCTATTATTTGTTTAGGTTCGGTATAAAGAAATGGCTTCAATATTATAATATAAAAACCATACTTGAAAGTTATATATGTTTTCTTGTTTATTTTGTAACAGCCAAATCATTATTTTCTTCCAAAATTTGACCTTATTTATGTTTCTAACCATATAATATATAAAATGTAATGTGTATTTACACTAATAATTACCACTTTCAAAATTTAAAATAGATTCCCTTACAGTTATAGCAGAAAATTTTAGATTTTTTTAATTTCAGCAATAAATATTATCTGCAATGAGTTCTTCACGTTACCGAAAATATAAATAAGTCATAATCGACTTAAAAAATAGATCGGTTCTTGAAATATTTAACTACACTATATAACAGACAAATTTACGATCAATAAACAAATTTATATTATGCCCTTATCCCTATCCACAAAATAAAAGATATACTGATGTAAAACTCTCATTACAAAATACGCATTATATCAAAGAAAATACGATATAACAACTTCGTTTATTTTCTATTTCGTCTACAGAGAGATAGGATAATCATAACGTTGTAGCCAGTAATTAGGGGTTATATAAATATATTATATTTATATTTTTATAGATATGTAACAACAGACACGCTTTAGTCATTTAAATGTAAGTGTATACACACTAGAGTGCAAATAGCTGTAGAGTCGAGACCTCAAATCTAGTTTGAATAGCTTTACCTAGTTTACAATACAAATGTCAAAGCCGAAAACATAAACAGTTATGTAGGTCGTATAATTTGAAATTACGTGCGAAATGCTATACTGTTGGTTACAATAGCTCACGATTAGATCGTAAATCTACTACTAAATCACTTTAGAACGATTTCTCTTAGTTAATCAAGCATAGAACATCACAACCTACGTACGTGAAAATAACTGACTTAATGTGTTAAAAGTCAAAGCTTGATAAATTAATTTCATTCAATGTTATTTTATCTTACATTACGTACGATAACATTGTATATTTGAAAGCTTAGATAGATTGTTATATCTTACACATTTCTAGAAATCCCATTTGTATGTAAAACGAAATAGAGTTGAATTTATTACTGAGATTCCTTAAAGTAAACTATACTAGTTTATACGCCATTTCTAATACTGCAAAGTATTAGATTCTTTTGTGAAGTCTTGTAGATGATGATATACTGTACAATACCTATATATATAAACGTTATATATAATACGTACATACGGTATTAAATAACTGGGATGCAAAGGATCAAGTAGATATTTTAAAGGTGAAAGATTATATGTTTGTTCCATTGTGAATTTAACTTTCAAGCAAATATTTTATATTCCTTAGGTTTTAGCGTGATTAATAGTCTGATTTACCTACATGATTATGCATATTATAAATATTATATATGTATGTTACATTATAACAAAATTTAGTAAGCCCAAAAAGGTCCACGATGGCATTATTAGAGTGAGTTAATACCACGACTAAAAATGTTCAGTATTCAGTTCAGTATTAAAATCCTGCATACAAAAGAGCAAATAAGCCGTTTCGGGTTATTTGACGTGGTTTAAGGTATATCTTTTAAAATACGTAATGTTTTCGAGTTACATACGAATTCTATTATCCTAACCATGTCTATTTACACAAGATCATCAAACTTTGTATTGTATGAATATGTTTAATGTAAATGGTTTTATTGCTCGGATGAAATTTATAGCTTTAAACTTTTTGTTTATTTTACATAAAATATTTATTTCATTTACATAAACCTTTTCTAGGCCTTAATCAACCTGCCTTTAACAAGAACATGCAGTTTATACTGCACATTGCGGTTGCAGATAAATTTTAAGCTATTAATTAAAAGAAATTGTATAATTTGCTATTAACAAGTTATACAATACAATTCATTACTTATTGCCTTGAAACAAAGGAATATTCTTAGAAAAACCCTAAAACATGGACCTCATTTTGAATAAACATTGCCAGCAGTAAAAGGTGCGAGACTAATTGTAACCGTTTGTACATTTAATGATATGAACAACCATTTAAATAATTTTATGAGGAGAAAACGAAAAATAAAATTGTTAAAGTTCAAAGGTAATAAATATCCTCAAGTAATAGAAGTACCCTCGAGGGCTGCTTGTTTCTTGTCTGTTGGCAAATTAATTTAAAATTAAAAGTCATATAATAACGAACTTGTACCTCATTTCTGAACAGGGAGTTTCAATCTCCGTTGTTAAAAATCTTTATTATTTTATTAATATTAAATATTTATACCAACAGGCATTTATTACGGTTTTTTTTTGTCATAATAATACATTTTCTTCTAAAATATTATTTGTTTCCTCCTAATGCTACAATTTATGTTAAGCTAAAAAATATATACTGAACAATAAGTTAAATCATTTTGAGATAGACATAGCTTTTAAGTGACCTTAAATGTTTATCCATCCATATTTTAAGTCTTGTTATAAGTTAAAGTGAAAAATAGGTTTATATAGTTAACTTACTCAGTGACATCAACAGGGTAAGGTGTTTTTTATACTAAGTGTATTTTTTTTCTCTATTCTCAGTTTCAGAGCAGATATTTTTATATACTGAACAATAAGTTAAATCATTTTGAGATAGACATAGCTTTTAAGTGACCTTAAATGTTTATCCATCCATATTTTAAGTCTTGTTATAAGTTAAAGTGCAAAATAGGTTTATATAGTTAACTTACTCAGTGACATCAACAGGGTAAGGTGTTTTTTATACTAAGTGTATTTTTTTTCTCTATTCTCAGTTTCAGAGCAGATGTTTTTATTAACGAACTATACATTTTACAATTAAATATGTTACATATTAAAATAGTTCTTCTTTATTGTTTGATACGAGAGTTTGACTGACTGTTAAAGATGTTATCAAGGAAATAATCATTTTACTGTACATCCGCTAACCAACTTTTGTAAAGCAAATGAGTACCAACAGTTCTAATGGAGTCTTGCGAAACGACGGAGATAGGAAAGGGTAAAAACAATTCATGTTTTTTAATTACAAAATTAATTAAAGAATATATATTCAATATATTTTAGTTATTATTTAAAAATATTAACTAACCGACAAGTACGAAAAGTACTCATTCCTGTTTTAAAAGTTCAAGCTAGTTGAGTTGCCTTTACCCTCTATTGATTTAATTTTGTAATGTGGTTGATAGAAATCACGAACATAAAAACATCTCAAAGCTAAAGTACTCTAAGTTTTCACTATGTACTCAATACTCATACTCATTTCTAGTAGGTCTCAACTATAGTTAAGTTATTATATATAATAAACACTCAAACTTACTACCAACCAACTAATAAACTTTGAATATGCTAGTACCCTTTTTCTTACCGACTGATAAGGGAAAAGGTTCCCAATTCTTATTTTATCTATACCTAAATTGCATTCTAAAGGACTGATTTTAATTATTGTGTCATTCGAACTACGTCATATAATTGATCTTAACAAATAAGGTTGTATGGAAAAGTTAAACTAAAGCCAGTTGCAAGTCTTTCCAAAAACTATTTCGACGATGTTAGTTAATATTTATTCCAAATGTCAAGTATTTCAATTATTCTTATCGTTCTTCTAGGCGCGTATGACAGGGAATAGAAAGAAGAATTTTAAATTTAATATTCTTTAGTATGTTTGTAATGTATAAAATGTAGAGTACAGTTTTCTATTCATAGCTTTTATGTTTGGTATTTATAAAACTATACTTATGTAGGATTAATACGTATATAAAAATTTTCATTCATACTTCATGTATTTCATTTATTTTTAGTAAAATAAAATTCCAATTTGAGAATTTTTTATAAATTGTTATGTAAATTTTTTGTAAATATTATTATAAAATAATTCATTATTTTGCAAATATGAAAATCGTTTATCTTAATAAGAAACAAAACAGCGTTTATTTTTTTTCGTCTCACTTAAAATTAATTGAAATTTAGTCTGATCCCTGGTCAAATTAAAATCGTATGTAATTAAAATGTTATACAATAGTCGGACTGATTTTTCACATGAAGTAACATTCTCTTTTAAGAGCTCGGTAAAATTTAAAAAATATGGAATGTAACCTCATCGCACTAATTATGTAATGGAGCTTTTGTAGTACTTAGAAACGATATTGGTAAATAAAAAATAAGGATTGCTTAGAGAAGTAGTTAAGTAAACATATAACATAAATCGATACTCAGAAATAGTTTGTGTGATTTGAAATGTTAAATAATAATAAAAATGTCAAAAATATGTTAATCCAACGGAACTTTGCACGGATCCTTGCACTGATAAAGATGAAAGATTTTTTCTTCCGCAGTGAACAAAAATGATCAGAGTAACTTAATGAATGTAAAGGGTCTTTTAATGTATAAATATTTCATAAACAGCAATATTTCTATCCAAACAAATATTAAAAATTCCAAAAAAAGTGATTGATAACTTTTAACCTTCAAATAACAAAGCGTCACGAATAAAAGCAAAGTTGTGAAGCTTTTGGACTACCTTATACTATAAAAGATTTTTAAGGACAATTATGAAAAATTTGAAAAATATTTAATGTTAAATAAGTACTTACGACACTGTGTCCACTCCGGCTGCGAAGACTGAGCCTCATTTTCCAATCTCGCTTAGTGGCTCCTCCTTCCGAGCTGAACGAACGCTTTATTGGCAACGACATTGTTACTACGCCAGCTTTATAATCTTCTATTTAACAAACATTATGCGTCTCTGCCGCAAAAAACATCACTTGAAAAGGTCACTATATTTCAATATCTAACCACCATTTCCATTTTTTAAATACATTGTCACTAATAGCACATAATTAACAAATTTTACATGGTATAAAAAATAAAAAGTAAACATCAAACATATTGAACAATAATACTAAGCACTTTGAACTTTAAATCATCAGAGACAGGCGATAAATACACTCACACAATATTAAAAATAAAATTGGTTTTCTATGACCATGTAACCGAAAGATAATTCAAGATGTCATTATTGCGAAAATCTGAAACAAAAAAAAAATATATGTAAATTATTTTATACACAACAATTTAAGATTAACTTTTAATGAAACAAAAGTAAAACATAAGTACTGCTTATAACGGGTGTTTTTTCTAGAGGTATAGAACTTTGAAATAAAATAAAACAAAAATGATATATTTTTTTATATGAAATATAATATTTTGGAAAGATAATATTCTTTCATTATAATTTAAATAAGATTTCAGGCATATGACCTCCACGACTGGCTCGTACGTAGTTTAATCTGGAGGTCCAAATTTCAACGACTTTTTCTAACATTCGTGACTGTATATCGGCAATAACGCGACAAATTTTATCCTCCAAGTGATCAACGTTTCGGGCTTATCAGCGTAGATTAACGACTTTACATATCCCCACAGAAAATAATCAAGTGGCGTTAAATCGCATGATCTTGGGTCCAATTCACGGGTCCGAAACGTGAAGTTGATGCGGTTACCAAATGTTTCTCTTAATAAATCAATTGTGGCACGAGCTGTATGACATGTTGCACCGTCTTGTTGAAACCAGAACTCCTGAACATTATAGTTGTTTAATTGATGAACGAAATAGTCACTAAAAATCGCTCTGTAGCGGTCACCATTGACTGTAACGTTCTGGCCAGCATTGTTTCTAAAGAAGTACGGACCAATTATTCGGCGGATATACTGATTCGGGTCTTCTTCTACGCTACGCTTTACAGCAGAAATAACTTCTTCTGTACGCACTGTACGACATCTCTGTGGTTGCGTATTACCATTTAGAGTAAATGTAGTGTGAAAACGTTCCATTGTTAATCAAATTAATTATTCTGATGGAATATTATGTGGACCTTAAAATGGACGTAGTGCGCGATACGTTTTTCGAACAAAGCCATGATTTCCAAAATAAATTTGCACAATTTGGAGGCGTTGTTTAGGCATTAGTCTATTTATGATGAATTGCCAAACCAAATTAAATACAAATCACTGGACAGCTGTCAAAATAACTGCCAGTTAAAAAAGTATTGGCAACTTTAAGTTGTATATCTCTAAAAATACACCCTTTACTATTGCAGTCATTTTCTTTGATCTGATTTTTTTTCCTTAGATACATATAATATTATTTGCAATAAAGAAAATTTTTTGATAATTACTTAATATGTATTTTAACGATCTAATTTAGCAATTGTGTTAATATTTTCTATTTTAGGAAAAAAAAAAATATATTTGAACAAAATTAATTTAAGTCATAGAAAATGTAAAGTAACAATTGTATGTGAACTTCTAATTAATTATTATTATTTGTTCTTTTTCACATTCTGCACATAATACAAAATATACTGAGAAAACTCAAACATTGGCTTTCCTAATAATTCCTTTCAATCTCTGCCATTGAATTACTGTATGGCACCCTCATAGCAACTGTCGTTAAGGGGTTAAAAGGCGGAAAATCAACGATATTTCTTTTTGATGTTACAATAAAGATGAAATTAGATCTAGGTAGATAAAAGACTAGATTTAATGCAGCGTTAATTTTATTTCTAAGTCTTTATCCAGGCAAAACACTTTAAAAGTTCAGATTACAGTTTTACATCCTAAATTCCCTACTCATATAGACAAAGAGCAAGGAAAAGCCATTAGAATCACTCAAAGACTGTGAAACTAAATTAGAATTAAAGTCAACGTACAGAGCAAAATTTACACCTTTTATATTATGTAAACACTCAACATCCTCGCGCAAGCTTTTCCAATTTAGATAGAATTGCGTACAAAATGGCGTCAATCTAAATAAAAATTACTCCGGTTAAGAGCGTAAAAGCATTTAGGGTTTCTTAAATTTTGAATTTATACAAAATAGATACCTTAATTTTTTATCATCTCAATAGTGGAACAAAAATGATATCAATACATCACAGGGCTATTATAATATACATTGAAGTTACATTATTAAATATGTTATTGTCATAATATGATATTCAATTATATTACATACTACAAGTATAATACATTCAATATACAAGTACAATTTCATATTTCAATTACAATAGAGAAAGTGTTGCAAAAACATGTAATTGAAACATAAATTTAAAAATGAATAAAATTTGTTCATATTAAACTATCATTTTTTCCATAGCAAAAATATAAAATACCAAAAAGGTATAAAACCATGTCCAGCCATCATTCATAAGTCGATGTGACGTAATCTTCTTCTTCTATATATATAAAAATGGATTGCTGTTCCTTAGTCTCGCTAAAACTCGAGAACGGCTGAACGGATTTATCTTATCTTAGTCTTGAAATGTTCATGGAGGTTCAGGAAAGGTTTAAAAGGTGAGAAAAATTGATTCATTTCCGGGAAAACCCTGAAAACAGCCCTTTTCTATTTCCCATACAAATGCTTTCTTTGACATTAGATTTGACAACTAACTAATATGTCAATCATTCTGTTCGATTGAAACAGGAAAAACCTGATTATTTATGGCCTCTAGGACGGAATAGAGTTCACCCGGTCAGCTATACATATATGTATTACTAATCATGAAATTAACGCGGACGAAATCGCGGGCAAAAACTAGTTAATAATAAAAAAACCTTAGTTTGTGTTACGTCATACTATTGACCCGTTAGAAGAAATTCGATCGGTTTAAATTAAGCTTGTTTAAAGTTTCACTACATATTAAATCTTTTCAACTTTTATTGACATTTGAAAAATTTTAAAATATCTATTAATACTCGCTTATTGTGCTACTAGTTAAAAGGAAAAAGCAAACATAGAAAGCAATTTTTTATATTGTATTTATTACATCACAACCTTTATAAAACGTCAATATTTATTTCACATCATTTTTCATTTAGGATTATAATACAGTTTTTCTGTTGCGAGTTTTTATAGGCACATAGAACATTTATAACTCTTATATTGACACTTAACATTAATCTAAGGGGTTGTAAGATTTTCGAAATTGCTAACATTTACGACTGTTACTCAAATTACCGTAAATAAAATATTAGCATGCCATATAAAATATATCAATAAACGTGCCTATGAAAAGAGGACTAAGTATATCAAATTAAATAAGAATCTTATCATTTCAGTAATTAACCATATTATTTAAATATGAATATATACGAAAGTTCTTTACACGGGTTTTTTTTTTATAAAACAAATCTTTCTTTATTATCTAAAACATAACATAACACTATCCATTCTTAAGTATTAAAGACAATGAATAGTGCTAACACGAATAAGTTTTACATACAACATTATTTAAAACCACAATGACAGCAGCCAACAATGTTATAAAATTTAAGGGAGTGATAAAACCAAGATTTCTTAAAATCAATACTCTAACGCAATATTTAAAAAAAACCGTAATACTCAGTATCATACTGAATAAAATCAATGTTCATGACCGGCGGAAGAACACAAACAATGAAAACGAGAAGGATACTGTATTGATTGGAATCCTGAATGACTATCTTTACGAAGAATTACCATCCAATGTCTTAGGAAATATATATATATATATATATATATATATATATATATATATATATATAACATTAAGATTCACCAACCGAGACATGGTTTAAGACTATGCAATGTTTTTGTATTCGTTACTTCAAAATATTGATAAATATTAGTAATACAAATATGTATATATGTCTAATATTATATTATACACATATCCTTATCATGTAATCGTCGTTTTACAACAGATAACCATCGATTACCAGCTGAACACATTGAGCCGATCTTTAATGACGTTACTATTATCAGGAATAATTTTGATTGTGTAACAACAATAAGATAGCAACATGATATCCAACACGCCAATGGTGTGAATCAAAAACTATGACAAGATAATTTTTTCTCACAAATCAAAGCAAAAATTATAATTTTTGCTATTCTTTTTAATTTTATTTGTTTCGTTTACAACTAAATGAATACTTGCTAAAGTATTAGATCTCATTATCTTAATATCGATCTAAAATAAATATAATAGACAGACTCTTCAATGCTTTTACATATATGTTTTAAGCAAATATCTTTAAAAAACAAAGGGCGTTTGTTTGTAATTCTTTTTTGCAAGTATATACTTAGATAATAGGTAAATTATTATTATTTATTTATAATTTAAATAACATAGGTTAAATATTTTTTAACTTATGTTATTTTTTATTCTTAATAAACCAACTGAAGAGGTATTAATCAAATAAAAAAAAATAGGAAAACATATTATGTACATATATACAGTTGGTTTTGTATGACAATGTTGTGTAAGGTAAGTGACGTCTTTTTAAACAGAGTGTGGAATTTTAGATATTTTAATACATTTATAAATTCGTAAATATGTAATCATTAGTCAGTCCAGTTTAAATTGAATTGAAAGATAAATGAAATGTTGATAACTATAAATAATAATACTTGTTTAGTAAACTCTGTCTGTTACACAAACAAACGAGCTACAGAACCTAATATTACACAGTCGCTTTGTGAACATAACATAGATGGAACAAACAAAGCACGATATAATTGAAATTTTTGTCTTAATTGAAAATCTATTTAAAGCGCTACTGGTATACTACAATGAAATCTCCTGAATTCCAAAATTATCAGCTTTGAATTTGTATTTTATGTAGCGTTTTATTTAATATCAAACTGTAACTC